GCGAAATATTCCCGCGGATTACGGGTAGGTGTGCGCGCGAGGGGGAGCGGAAATAAAAGAGGCGAAGGATCGTCGTAAAAGCGAGCTGGAAAAATAAGGCTTGTAGAGTTCTCGCGAGGCACAATCCTCCTCCTCGGCGTTTTAAAGCACGGCGATTGTGTCAAGGTTGTTTTAGCGTTGCGTGGCGTTCTGTGGCGTGGCGCGCGAGAGCCTCTCAAAATGGTTGCGCGGCCGACGTCCTGAAAAGGTTTCCAGCTATGTCTCAAAAGAACCGTCTACACCAAAGAAATGCTCCGTTACGACACTTTACTCGATTGTTTTCTTTCTTCGACTTTCTAGACCTGGACGATCGACAATGAATAACCATGCGAATAATCGCAATCACACGCATGGTAATTGCAATTTCTTGCTACTTTGATATTTAGATCGTTTGATCTTGTTTATTGGTATTTTTTTTTTTTTTTTGTTTATGGTTTCTCATTGATAGATCGAAGATTTTTCTGTGCATTTATGGGAAATTTGGAGATTCACGTATGTGCAGAGTACATATCTTGGTGCAAGCAGTGGCAATGTCAGTATTTATACGTTGAGATATTAGCGCTTAAAGGTACCTTAAAAAATTCGTGTTCAAATAGTTTGTCACACGGTAGTTTCTGCTGTTTCAAGTTTTTTTTCTGGTAGAAAAAAGCAGAGTCGAAGCTTATACTATTTGTGTTTTTTATGTCGACTTCGAACCTTTTGCAGAAAGTTTATTGGCATTGACGTGTACAAATATAACTAGCTATTTCTAGATAGAATTTGAAATTGTCTGTGTATATAATTGTTTGGGAACCCAATACCGGGTTTGATTCAATTTTCCAAAAAAGAAACAGATATGGTATTAATTATACTTACCATTTTGAAACTGAAGTTTTTCCATTTTCTTCCTGCTGTTTGTCCGTGGTCTTCTCTATTTTATTAAAAATTTAATCATTATTTCGTAACAATTTTTACGATGGAATTTTACTCCAAAGGTAAACAACTCGCGGAACTTCAAGCATTTTAATACATCTTGAAAAATGAATAAATTCTGAATAGAATATTTTAATGAAGTAAGGTAGAGTTCTCGTCATAATTCTTGCTTTGCGAGACAAATCTTTGCCTTACTTAGATCCTACTTTTTAATTACGCTCATAAGAGTACTACGTGTTTATCAGTTTCACTGTAGAAACAGATCCAAGTTTTTCGACGTCTAATAAATAATATTGCGAAGCATATAATATAAATACACGATATCTATGACTTTTTATGGAAATAATCGAAATATTATAATCGAAAGTATATGCTGTATGAATATGTTTAAAAAAATTAGACTGTATCCATAGGAACCCGTGTAATATACAGTAATAGTTCGTGGTAACTCATATATGTTACGAGTTTGTAAGATTTTGGAATGTACTTGGTTTATCAGCAAATTGGATGAAGCCAATTAACAATTAAACGAATACTCGGCGTGCGTTCCTTTTAACGAAGTATTTTCATCCACGTAAAGACATGTGAAATTTCACTTTGAAATCTCGCGAAGGAACGCCCACGTTTGGTATTAATTCAACGATCGACGAGAATCAAGCGAATGGAACTCATTTTTGGGGCTTCTTTTTTCTTATACTCTTCCGCTGTCGAAGCCAGTGGAAAAGAACCAATCCAATATCTCGTTACTTTTTTCTAAGAAAATCATAGAAACTTTCTATCTTTATCAACTAGTCGATAATAAATATTTATTTATTCAAGAGAAGCAACCCAATGCATAATATAATAAAAATAATAGGAAATTCGATGCAGGAAAAAAGGAAGCGGATAAAATAAATTTAATTTAAAAGATTTAATAAATACCAACTAACAATAAGAATAAATAATATGGCATAATCATATATACATATCAAGGTTTATCCAATTCTTAACAGATTTCTATTATTCCTTTCACAGTCTTTAATATCACTCAAATGCTTGTTGTTTGTAAATTTAATTTAAAGCGACCTAGAAAATACTAACCAACGTTAATAATAAATCATATTATATAATTACACATTTAATTACGTATGCATTAAGGTTTATCCAATTCTCAACAGATTTCAGTTGTTCTTTCTTTTTTATTCATATGATTTTCCACGTTTATTTCAATAAAAATTAAAATTCATCTGCTTTTTACAAGTTCTGGTCGCCGTGGGTTTTGGTGAATTATTGTCAGGATATCGTGCAAGGTTTATTTTGCCCGCAAAAGAACTCATTGTATTCTTATCTCCGCTTTATTGCGAAAAGAAGGAAACAAAAATACCAAAAAAAAAAGAGGGAAGAAAAAGAAAAAAGAGCCGTAGAGCAACGACAGTTGAACTCTCGTTTGAGAAATTACTTTTGGCTGCGAGACAAACTAACCGCTCTACGGTTTCCTCGGTGGTCTTTCCCCTTCTTCCACGATAATACTGTTCATTATCGTCCAAGTTTCACCGCAAACCAAAAATCCTAATCTTCAAACCGTTCCATCGCTCTTATACAGCGCGTAATTGGAAACATTCTGGGATCCTTTCTGCAACGTTCTATGAAAATAACAGCGGTCTTTTAAATTTTACTTTCGGAAAAAAAAGCAAGAATGTTACCTCGATGGAGAATTATTAGTTTTCTTTCTTTTCATTCAGGATTCTAGCTGACAGGGGGGAAAAGAAATTAAAGTTGTGTTATTAAAAACTTGAGAAGAGATGCGTTTCTCTTATCGATCGATAAAGACAGAGTTTAAAAAAAGGATTCGATTCTGAAAGTGTTGGCAATTGGAACACTAAAGTGTTTGATTTTATTCGAAAATTCCGAGCAATGAATCTACCAGACTTCCGAAATAAAAACTTTACCTTCGACCCTGAATTATTAAAAATTTTAATTCGACGATAATAACTCGAATTCCCTATATTCTTATTAGTCACTGGAAAGCAACCTCAGCAGCGCAAATAAGCTAATTATCAAGAATACTACTCGTGCGCAACTATACGGTTACGTACTATGAATCACATACTGTGATTTACATATCGCAAATTTATACTCGCGAATAAGTAAACAACCACGTGCGAGTAAACAAATGAGAAAATCGAGCTAAGTACATCGAACGTGATTGGGAATCAATCGAACGTATCCGTTCTACTATCGGCCACTGCAATCAACGTAATACGTTAATTACCACCTCCACGGTGCTTCACGTGCTCTCTTTCAGACAGTGAACCGCCTAGCAGCCGTAATTCAAGGAAACACGCGTCCAAGTGTCACATTATATGAATGAAATACAAACTATCCGTAACTAAGTTTAGCCGTTCAGCCAAACAGCTGATCTCAGCCGACCTCCGAAAGTACCTACAATAAAACCACGCGAGAGAGTGCTCTCCGTATCTGTCTCTGTCTCTCCCGTTGCATGGCCGTGTTCACGGATGCAGCCTCCGAAGAACAGAGAACTTGTCTCTCGGTGTCGATGACCCGAATAATGGGGACGAAGAAAGAGTTCGCTGGGAAAAAGAGGAAACGTTACCTGAACCGGGACGTTCGCCGCTAAATGAAACCAGATTCTTCAGAAAACGGCATAAAATAATATGAAGAGAAAAAGTACTGCTCGGTATATTAGAATACGAATGGTGATAGGCAATGGCTGGGTCAAATACTGAGACTTTAGCATTAAACATTTGGATTACTCTGTATGTATAATGAGGATAGCCGGAATGAACGTAATTGGTTTTCAAATGTTTGTTACGGTATCTGTCGGATTTATAATTTATTATGAAATATGCATGGAATATAGTGGGTAGCGTTTAAATGGGAAAATTCCTTATATTAAATTAAATTTAATTTAATTTAGTTCGTAACCGTTACTGGAAATAAAAATTTTGTAATTTCGCTTTTATCGAAATTGAGAATGTAAGAAAATAGGCGTAGAGGAAATTAGGGATTAATTTTTCCCTAAATTTTGTTGCATTGTATACGCGTTGAATCGGAGGAGCACGCGTTTTCTGGTGGAAATCGTTCAACTTAAAAGCGATTTCTTGTTACGATGTTGGTATTTAAATGCATTCAAATTTATGTAATTAAACTAACATGTGTTTGTCTGTGTGGTCAGCGAAAATTACGTAAGTATTAAATTAAGAAACGCAAAGAGTGAAGATGGAGGTCGAAGGTGGATGTGATCAGTTGTAAACATTTGGATTCGAAACGTTTGAAGTGTAGAAGTGCTTAAATTCTAATTCGAATTTTCTGCCTGAACATTGAGTAATATATTTATTTTACACGTACGCTGATACTAATATATAGACACTAATATAAGTTAGCAGTACGAATATAGAAAGGGAGAAAAAAGTTTTGAATAATATAATGATGCCTCGATAATTTGTAAAACAAATGAGTCAAAACTTCTATGATCTGTACTTGAGACTCGTAAAAAGAATCACCTAATTTTCATAGTGAGGAATCTTTCTCCTCAAATTAAAAAATGATTTATTTAATATTTCAAAAATATATAAAGTTCGCTAAAGGACATCATTAAGAAATGGAAATCAAAATTATTAAAGTCTGCAAAATTCCATAGTGATCCTAAAAAAAAAAAGAAACAAAAATTATCAGTTGAATTAAAGAGGGATTAAATGGATTAAAAGAGAATGATAGGTTGAAATAAAATTGGAAGGTTTTAGAGAATAGGGAAAATATAGAAATAAAGTAGAAAGATGTTTGATGGAATATCGGAAAATCCGACGTGGAGAACGTGTCCTCGATTTGGCTCGTATTCCATCGCCAATGTCTGCCAGACCACGTGAGCGTCAGTAGGTGGAAAACCGCTTCTTGCGGCTGCATTTTTAATCAGTATTCCACGATTTCTATGTTCCATGATACTGCTGGTTACGTAATCGTTCCCCTGTAACCGTGATCTTGCATACTCTGACGTTCCATTCACGACTGTCTTCGCTTACTGACCATTCGGTGACGATTTCTGTTCGCAGGTATCAGAATGAGCTTCCAAAGAAGATCAAATCACGCGGTAAGGACGCGCATCTCAATCACGAAGAGCTCGTACAAACGATGAAATGGAAACAAATAGTGAGTCGATATTTTTGTTCGATATTATTCTCTGTTATATTTTCGTTTTCTAACTCTCTATAACTCAATTCTTTTGTTCAAAGTTAATAACAGATCTCAGTCTTTCGTTAATCGCTTAGTTCGATTTCTTTGAGGAAAGAAGCGGTAGTGTGGTGCTATAGAGAAAAATCCGTAATATTCAGGAAAATTTGTATTCTTTGTTTTTTCAACTTATCCGCTCTTAGAGAATCATTGCCTTGAAACACACTGTATAAAGCATTAAACAGTCGAATTATTCAAGAACTTTCTACTGCTTTACAGTAATTTAACATTGGGCGTTAACCCTCTTGTTATACCAGCGGGTATATAGCTTTAAAAAGTATATAGAATTTAAGATTTGAAATTTTGTTTAATTATAGCTCTAACAGTCTAAGCAAGCCTAAAGTTAATTGCTCGCGATGAAATATTTAATGTTACGAGATATTCAATCTGCGATAAAACGGATTAGATTTGAACGTAATTGATTTTGTCTGACAATGGACTAAAAGATTCATCATTCAGGTCACGTGGAGTTATACATGGTTGAATGTAATTACAAGAAGAGGAATTAGCTCTTCCAAATGATTAAATTAAAATTGACACTCTGAAATAGTCAAACCTCAATGTAAATATGCTTTTCCAACTGTAAATAAGTTGTTCGATTACGCAACTTAAAGATAGCGGTATACACCAAGTTCATGATTCTTCGCTAAAATGCGAATTAGACTCGTGGGTAGCTTGTAGACTCAATCGAAGTTTTACAAGTTTCAAAGTTCATTTGAACAGTATATATGTCGCGCACGGCACGAAGATTCCAAACTGGTTTTAATCGCGGCACACGTTTCACTTTGATTATAAATTTTAGTATCCCGACGAAAATAATTTACTGAAGATACAAAAAGGAAAATACAAAACATAATACAAAGACATATATACGAAGGATTAAACTTGTTCTTTCGATGTCTCTTCGAAAATTAATCCAACTGTGAACAGCTGAATTCCGATAACAAGATTCAACTTGTACTTCAATACTGTCATTTTAACTTTCTTTCAGGAAATATATTTTTCGTACATACATATCAACTTGTTAATTCTTAATCAACAAATTTTTAATCGGAAACTTCTACAGCCGTGGAATTAAAAACGAATAAAGACAAATAAACCTTCGTTAGATCGATCTTAGTCCTTGTAAATGTACCTACGAATGTAATCTATCTTTAATAGAAACGAAGCGATATGTAGAACAGTAGAAGATTTTCAAATGTCGACACTATCACGCCCAAAAGATTAACAATTCGACTTAAGACATTTCCTGTAATTAGCAAGTTAAAAACTGTTAATTAAAATTCAAGAACTAATTCTATAATTTATCGAACACAATTTGGAAATTTCGACATATGGTGGTACCTACTATCTTGAAAAAGTATTTCTAAAACTCGTGTATCATCACCATGTGCGATAGTAGTATACGTCATAATTTATTTCATACGCGCTGAAAGAGTCGACGAAACAGGAAACGAATACGAGAAGTAACGTTCACGTGGCTTTCGAGTCATTAGTCTAGCAAATCGTGATGTTTCCTTTAAACGTTGGATCTTTTTTTTTTATTATTTGCAGCGTGGGAAGTTCTATCCTCAATTGTCCTATTTAGTAAAAGTGAACACACCTCGTGCTGTGATGGCTGAAACGAAGAAGGCGTTCAAAAAGCTTCCAAACCTTGAACAGGCGATTACTGCCCTCTCGAATTTGAAAGGAGTAGGCACCACGATGGCGTCAGCCCTATTGGCAGCAGCATCACCGGAGAATGCACCCTTTATGGCGGACGAATGTCTGATGGCAATACCGGAAATCGAGGGCATCGATTATACTACTAAGGAGTACCTCAACTTTGTTCAGCACATTCAAAATACCGTCGAGAGGCTGAACAAACAAAGTAAGTGTCTCTGTTAATATACTCGTTTATCGTCGATTAATTATCGAACGCAGTGTCCTTAGTTAAATTTAAAAAAGGGAAAAAGAGAAGAGCGATACATGGAGCAAATATCGAATCGTTCAACAAGTTTTCTCGCGATCTTTCGTATCGGAATTAACAGAAATATCAGTGTAATCGAAACGTCCAATTCATAATTCTTCACACGAACTTTATGCATTCACAATATCTCGAGATTTAAATGATTCTTGATAAAGGCTTATTTTTTCATGTATCCCTCATTTTGATTTTTTTGAAAGAAGCTTTATATCTTGGTCGTCGATAGTTCTAGCGCCAGGACAATTTGGAAACAAGTTTCACAAATATTTGTAAAACCATTTTATCACCTCAGTATGTACCTATATGTACATATTGATTATTCATTTCTAAACACATTTCCTTTTCTTCTAAGAACTTCCTGTTTGTCATGATGAAATTACTATATTGGAAGTAAAATAAGCAATCTTTTATCCAGCCCTTCTACTATTAAAATGTATATATTGGTTTATGTGTGTAATTGAGATTAGTTAAGTTATTTGATTTCAATTAAATCGAGATGATTAGCAACAGGATCCTGTTGCGGATTAAAAATACTCTTTAGAATTTCTAATTTTCTGTTCGTTATCACGTCGACTGGCAGTTGCTTTAATCTGATATACATAATTCGAAGCTACTTTATCTATGATTTGTACGAACAAAAATGAATAATTTATTTTGTATGAACAGAGACTTGTACTAATCACATGGAACTTCGTTTATCTGAACTCCTTATTGAACCGATTAAGTCCACTTATCTTAACACGAATTCCTATTATTTAGACAATAAAGCACAAGTAACGAGGAATCGATGAAGTATTATACGAATTGTTTGACCCCCAATGGATTCAGATAGATATACTTCTCCACTCGAAACGACTTGAATTCGCATAATTCGACTAATCTGAATTTACTTGATCCCCTATCACTATTATATCAAGATCTCACTATCACTCTTGTTTCCCAATTAAATCAAATTGTATAACATCACTGTATCGATTAAATATATAACTCGAAACGAAACATTAAGATAGTATTTCGACGATCAGACTGCGGATATTTATGAAAATTTATATTTTTATGAACAGAATCTAAGAGACAGAACCCAAATCGGTATTGATTTCACCTTTTGTATATTATAACAAGTACAGCAGTATCTCGTTTGTTTGAACGAAACTTTCGTTAATATCCGATTAAATAAACTCCTGTCTATTCAATCCGTTTATCTGAATGTCAACTCTTAGTATATGAAGGAAAAATCATAGGTGGTGAAGAAAATAAATAGATACTAATTACATAAACTATCTGTCTTCCAACAAGTTTGTATAAACGGATTTCTATTGTACCTTATTTTGGATATTTTGTATGTTTTCGTATATTATCATGGCTACAAAAAGTATTAGTATAGTAATTTATCTTTAATAGTGTTTGTAGACTACTTAATTAGGCTTAAACATACTAAATTTTATTTGATAATACCTTCAATAATATACCCTATAGTATAATTTATTATTAAGCATTATTACCTTCATACAACTACAGAGATTCGATCCTAGGAAAATGGAATGCAGAATTTGATAAAAAGAAATACTTCATTGGAAAATATGATCATGCGCCAGTACTTTTCCTAGTCACTGCATGTACGTTTCTTCATTGAAAATTCCCATAAATGCATAAAGGTCCGCAGTCTCGACGATCCTTATCGCCTAACGATTAAATATTTAACAGACGTTTGGTTCTTTTTTTTTCATTGCAGCGTCGAACGGCAAAACCTGGAGTCCCCACAGGGTGGAACTCGCCCTGTGGACCCACTACGTGGCGTCCGAGTTGAAGCCAGAGCTGCTGGACGGCATTCCAGGCTCCACAGAGAACGGGAACTCTCATCCGCCCAGCAACGGCGAGGCGACAGAACCATCGGACGACAGCAATCAGGAAGTGGCAGTGAACGGTAAGGAACTAGGCAGTATTGATCCGGCGGCCATCGACGAGAACAGCATGACCACGTCCTTCACCGAAGACTCGATGGATAAACCCGCTACGCCGATTACAGCGGCCGTTGCCAGCGAAGACACGAACGATTCACTCGCCACAAACGACAACGACGACAGCAACAACACGCCTCGACCGACAGACAGCGAGGACACCGAAGACTCGCAGGACGTACAGGAGCCGCCCACCAAGAAGAGTAAGAAGTGACCCACCGCCAGCCAGGGAGCCACGAATACGAGCAACAACGTCAGCACCCTCGTGTCGGCCGCTAATCTAACGCTGATCGCAGCGAGGCGCTTCTAAAAACCGTCAGGGTCACCGATCAGGGTCGCGGATAGTAGACCTGTAGCCTACCATCGCACCATCACGATCGTTTTGATGATTCTCCTTCGCTCTCTCTCTCTCTCTCTCTCTCTCTCTCTCTCTCTCTCTCTCTCTCTCTCTCTCTCTCTCTCTCTCTCTCTCTCTCTCTCTCTCTCTCTCTCTCTCTCTCTCTCTCTCTCTCTCTCTCTCTCTCTCTCTCTCTCTCTCTCTCTCTCTCTCTCTCTCTCTCTCTCTCTCTCTCTCTCTCTCTCTCTCTCTCTCTCTCTCTCTCTCTCTCTCTCTCTCTCTCTCTCTCTCTCTCTCTCTCTCTCTCTCTCTCTCTCTCTCTCTCTCTCTCTCTCTCTCTCTCTCTCTCTCTCTCTCTCTCTCTCATTCCTCTCTTCCTCTTTAACTCTCCAACTATGTACCTTGCCCATTTCTTTTTTTTTATTTTTCTTTGCCTTCTTTCTTCCGTTCCTTTCTCCTCGCCGTGAATTATTTATCCTAGATTCATTAAATTCGTAAGGTTCCCCTTTTTATCTCCTCGTTCCTTCTCTTCACTACATCCAGTATCTTTGGTCTTGTTTCGCCTTCTTTTTGCTATTGTTTGTAGAAATATATCACGAGACCTCGTTGTAAAATAGTGTTACTGCATATATGATGAAAGTGGAAGTTGTGTATAAGCATCTTGCTGGTCTTTAGATATCCATCGCGCTAGATCGGAGGCAGAAAGAAGAGGTAAAAAGCTCGATATTTCGAAGATTTCCTTCTTCATTCTCATCGTTTTTCTTTATATTTTAGTGACTTCCTCTCTGTTCTTCTTCGCGTCCGTTTTATCATATCGACCGATTCTGAACAGGTTCTTTGGGATGATCGTACGATTAGCGTTATTCGCGACATTTCACGTAACTTTTATACCATGTGATAATAGTGATAGCTACTTTCTTTCGACTCTACGCGAAGGAAACCTCGAGATGACAGAGCTTTCTTCCTTCTTCTGCTGCGCGTCGTAGTTTTTAGGGACTCTGAATATTTCTCTTTTTTCTTTCTTTTTTCATGGAGATCGAAACGAAGTAATTCCACGCGGTTACTGCCTTTTGAACAAACACACGCTTCCCCTCCCCCCGTTTCCGCTTGTTGCGCGATAGCAAAACGACGTAGCGTTTAATTCAAGAGCCAAGACATCATTCCTTTTTACCATGATTTGTACCGGCGTTTTTGAAGGCCACCGAATTACAAAGGGCGATATGAAACGGCGTTGACGCATGTTTTTATCTTCTCCTTTGTTCTTTTTGTCAAAAAAAATGAGAAAATGTAAAAAAAAAAAGGGAAAAATCGAAAAAATACCGTGAATGAGGTGTGCATAGCGAATGGGAAAAGCGAAGGGAAAGAGAGAGTGGGAGAGAAAGGATGAGCGAGAACGTATAAAACCGGGTGTGAGAGAGATATCGAGTAACTGATTCCGTGACCAGCAAAAAAGAAAGAAACAAAATAATAATAATAATAATAATGATAAATGAGAAAAACGGCGGTACTACACACACCGATCACAATGATAATATTACTATTAATAATAATTATTATTATAATTATAATACCGAATCATTACCATAATTTATATATCTAAACAAGAAAAAAAACTGCATGTCAGAGTGATGCATGGAGCAAACCAAATACCTTGTAAGTAAAAAGATACTTTAGAAACAAATAAAAGTAACGCTTTTTTGAGTCCACCAAGAAAAAGAAATACGAGAACGAGTGGGCGGTCGGACCTGCACACACATACACATAACCACACACTGATTCGCGCGCGCAAAACCGTACACGAATACCTGTATAGAATGCGGCCATGATAGCAAGTTTGAAGACTAATAGAATGAAGGGACAAAGACACCACACGTATACCACATCAAGGTTTTCATGTACAGGGATTTAACTAGTATTTTTGCATTATTAAGGATTATTAATTGTCCGAGGGAAGACGGAGCCGCGACGACGAATGCGAACCGAGGAAGAAGGGGTGAATGACGACGATGACGGTTATTGGACGGTTGACAAACGAACAATATATATCAGTAACAAACCTAAGACAGGAAAGAGAAACGATTAGGCAAGATAATAGAAGTATAATGACGAACTTTGGAGGAACTGAGGAGAGAGTGAAAGTGTTTAGAGAACGAGTGCAAGATTGCGAGAGTGATAGCGAGAGAAAGAGAGCGAGAAAGGAACAGAAGAATAAAGTAAACCACTATAGCTTGATCAAGAACGTTCATTCAAATTTTATATATATATATAATATGCATATATTGTATAATATATATATACATATATATATATATTGTATATATATTATATAATATATATTTGTAATTTAGAACAGCGTGGTCAGGCTACTTTAGATACTGACCCTATTATTAAACGATACACACGCCATTGTGGCAGCTATGCACTTGTTTGGCTGCACTAGAATAAAGAAAAAAAGAAGAAGGAGAAATGGAGGAAGTGAAGCAACTGACGCAAGGGACACACCGACAGTGAGAAATCCACCCCTTCGCGCGAACAGTTCGAATTTCTGCTGTATTGTCGATGATTATTATTATTATTATTCCTGGTGAATTTTTACCTTAGTACGGAACGCGTTATGACGGGTGTTTCATACGAAGCAAATCGGTGTGACAAATCGTTGCGACAAATCCGGCTTGATGCGGCGCAGAGTAAACAATGTCACTCTCGACGTGTCAGCATCGTTAGTAGTGACAACGGGAACGATTTTTACATCGTGAAGCGATCTTACGAACTAATTCGCCGGCTAACACGTAAGTGAACTTCTGCGAATGAACGCGACGGTAAATGAGAAACAAAGAGGGACGTGGATGAATAGGAAGAAAAGGAAGGAAGAATGCAGCAAGTATGAATCTACTTTAACGAAGAGAGAAAAACCGTAGTGATCCGTTCTATTTATTTAGCGCCTAATTTATTCCGTATCGATCGTTTCGTTGGCAAGGAAAGAAGATATATAAAAATAATATGATGATATATTTATATATATATATATATGAATACATAGACACGTATGCGTGAGAAGTCCCCCCCTCCCCTCACCCCCTCCTAAGTATTTCGGAATTAAATGAAAAGGAAAAGCCGGGGGAATACAGAAAAAATGTATGAACGTATATTTTTTTGTCCTTTTTTTCTCTTGCGATAATTAGAAAGTAACTCTTAAGTAGTGATTAAATTGACGGTGATGACTTTAAGATTGCTATAATATACATATTTGTGAAGTACGAAATGGCGATTGATTATAATACTATGATGATGATGATGATGATGATGATGAGGATGATGAGGATGAGGATGATGATGATGATGATGCCGACGACGATGATGATGATAATGATGATGGTGATGATGATGACGATGAAGAAGACAATTATGGTTATGATTATAATTACGATCATTATTATATTATTGCTGCTATTACTGCTATTACGAATGACTGCGAGCACAGTTTTTATTGTCTTATAAACGTAAACGGATTAATGTAGCGGAGTTGTTTGCTTTTTTTTTCTTTCTTTTTTTTTCTAAACGCCTGATAAATTATTATTCTCGCACGTAATTATACGAGACATTCCACACTGATTTCTTCTTGTTCTGTGTTGTTTCTCTCTTTTTATCATCGCTATTTTTTCTATTTCTCTCATTCTTTCTTCTTCTCTCCTCTCGTTTGTTCTCTCTTTTACGTCGGGAACGAAAGAACACGGAATAACCGAGAGAGAATCGCGGAAGTAAAAGCACTTATGAACCGATACACTGTGAAGAAACGATGATCTCGCGACGAAGTTCCACGTCTCACGCAACACAACCAACGAAAACGTCATTCCGTCAAAGCACTATTTCTGCTTCCCACGTGTACCACGCGTGCTATAAAAACTTTCTCTCTCTCTCTCTCTCTCTCTCTCTCTCTCTCTATCTCTTTCTCTTTCTTACTTTCCTCCCGATTTATCGATTTTATAGACTCGAATCTAGAAAGACCCACGATATCTTATCTTTGTCTCTGCTTTAATCCTTAACAGAGCGTAGATCTTTTTAAAGAAGATCGATTTCTTCACGATTGCGTGCGGTACCGTGAATTTCGATAGACGAACGAACGATGGAAGCTGGCCTGACCCAGGGATAAGTCGCGTGATCGATGAGGGGACTCGCCGAGAAGGGTCAGATCCTTCCAAGAGGGAATTAAGTACATCGTCCTCTTGTGTCGCTTTCCTCTTGGATCTTCCTGGAGCCACGAGAAAAATTATTCACGAGTGAAACAAAGAAGATATTCGCCGAAATTTATCGTTCATTTCTCGAGGGGCTGAAAAGGGACAGTAAGGATTGAAGATTTGTAGGATCGTTTCCACGAGACCAAGGTTCATGACTTGGAGTAATCCGATCGATTTTTATGCTTTGTGATTGTTGGATGGAGTTAAATCGAATTTGGTAGTCAATGGCAACTCGAATCATATTTGTCATGTGTTATCGTGTTTGTATTGATAATATTGACTTTGGAATATTATAACGATTCAACGATTCTTCCGTCTCCGCAAATTAAGATTGGTTTATACAGAAGAGCTGAGCTTGGAACGATTACTATGCTACTTGAGATACTATCGTACTTAAATGATTGTCATCGATGGTTCAGCAAATGCTTGCTAAACATTCGTTTACAATTCTTAATGGCTTTTATTTAGCTTGCTTTTGTGTCTATTTGTCTGTCTTGGTGGAATTTTGAAAGCAACATTTCATCCACTTGCACATTTTTAAAGAAAAATAAAAAAGGATATATATAAATTTTAAAAATTAAGAAAATCATTTTTATTTAAAAATGTACTAAAAAAAGGAGGTAATTTTCTGAACCATGTACCGTTAAGTAATTGAATGTAATAATAGTATACAGGGAAATCTGTATATGTCGAGCACACGTGGTAATCATATGATAGGATATTACTCAATTGTTGAACTCATATTACTAAAAATAAGTACCTGGCGGACTCATTATGCATTTACGATACATCCTCCATTTGGCTAACATCTCTTTTGTTCTCTTGAATGAATTTTTTCGATACAGAAATTCCTAACGAAGACAAAGAAGGAAATTCTCTACCGATTACAAGTTAAAAGTGAAAGAACATTT